TTGATCAGCTGAAACTGTCTTGGACTGATAATGGCCTGATAGCCTTGCTCCAAGTCTATACTGAATTATAAGTCCATGGGTGTATAGTATTCTGTCTTTACAATAGGCAAGTCTAGATAAGTGGAAGGACGCTGTTCGTTTATAGGGACAACTTGTTCTTATTATTGGTATAATCTAGAAATTATGATTTAAACTAATGATTATTGCCTTAGAGACTTGTGCAAGTCTATCCGCCTGATTGCCCGCAACATGAAGGTGTTGGCATGGAATGGGATGAGGAAGGGTTCCATCCTAATCCAATCTAATTAGCAGGAGAGGCTGATCATCAGGTATCATCATGCTAGTTGTCGGATTCTGTTGGTGGAGAATTGATTGACTGACATTGATTGAGGTCGTTTGAGGCTACGGGAACTTTGTTATGTCTGTGTTTTGTTTGGAGGAACATTTCAGGGAAAACATCTTCGGAGTGTTTCCTTGTGGGTAATGCTTGGAGAACTAGCGTTAGGTTGTGACTGTTCTAGAGGGGAGATTGTTAGGTGTTTGTGCTTCAGAAGTGGAGTTAGGTCTTGACTGACTTTAGTAATTGCAGCACCCTGGGGATCTGGGTTAGAATTGGTCCTTAGCAGCTTTCGCTAAGCATTGTTAATGGATCAGGTGACGTGACTCAGTGATTTGGTTGATTGCGTGTCATCAGACGTGGATGCTGTGGATTGCTGCTCCTAATATCCATCATTGGTTGTCTGGTCCAGACTTACTTGTCTGGAGCTTGTCATGCTAGGCCTGGGATACAGTTTGTGAGGTATTATGTGATCAACAAACTGATTTGAGGAGGACAATTTTGGTGTAGAGTATCACTTGTAGAAATGTGGGCTTTTGTTCATTGATGCCTTCAGGGCTAACTGTTAAGGCAAGGGAATGTTTATCCCTTGACAGTCCAGCTTTAGAAGGGCCTAATGTTTTATTCTTCCTTTAAAGGCCTTCAAATTATAGAAAATACCTTAAAACCCTGAGCAGTATGTTTACCTACTAAACTGACTTACCCATGCCAAATGAAATAAAATATATTTAGCTACTGAAATATATTTTTTAATTTTCTTTTCAAATGACCCATGCGAAGTGGTAAGCAAAAATCTGTGGTATCACAGTTTAACTGTTTGTTTGAAGGGGAAACAGTTTAACTATTTGTTTGTTTGTTTGTTTGAAGGGTAAGCACCAGGGTGTTGATGGGACAGAGTTGTTTTTTAGGTAACTTGACAGTTATTGACTGTAAATGCCTTAAACTTGAGGTCAATTTATACATAAGGTGAGAGTCAATCACTTTTTGGAACTTGACAAGAACTCCTCTGCTGAGTAAAGCTATCAGTGTGATTTGTCAATAATGAGGACAGCGTTGTGATGTTGGAGCAGCGGATGCCTCACCTTCTGGAGGCCTCACCTTCGCTAACTCTCTCTGGGTAGCACTAATGAACACTGCTGGTACTCCAGTCATAATTAGCCTCAATAAGTCGCAGTGACACTCCTGCTGGACTGGTGATAGGGGAACTAGCTCACACTTTCAGCTTGGCCTAATTTGATAAATTGGCTTTTGGGAGCAGTGTATTTAGCAGGACTACCTTGTGCTGCCTTGAATAGACTAACATCTAGTCTCCGAAATGAACATATCATACAGATAAAAAAAAAAGTTTTTAAATTATATAAATTTAAATATAATAAAAAGGAGCCCAGAGACTCTCTTCATTTGAGATACTGCAGTAATCTGGACTTGCCAAACATTATAGACTTGCATGGGCTGTATTTGATATATTTGTTTCAGGGTCTGTAAGACAGACTACTGCCTTGGGAACAATCTGCTTTTGGGTAACAAATACAAGCAGAATAAGACTGAACCCAGTCCTGAGTATTTAAGTCTCTCAGGAACATCAGGGCGGTCGGGAAGCCTAGTGGTTTAAGCGTTCGCTCGTCATGGCGAGAACCTGGGTTCGATTCCCGACATGGGTACAATGTGTGAAGCCCATTTCTGGTGTCCCCCGCCGTGATATTGCTGGAATATTGCTGAAAGCGGAGTAAAACCATACTCACTCACTCTAAGGAACATCAGATAACCCTGTTGAAAATGTAGCTCACTCTGTAGCGTACAAGTCATTCATTGCATGTAACTTGGTCTTCACAACAAGAGAGCTTGGTCCATGACTTCAGCTCAATGAAGCAATTCAAGTTCAAAATAAGTCCTTGTGATAACCCTGATAATATAATCTGCACATTTGGGTCCCTAGACCTATAGCATCAGCCTCACGGAACCCAGGACCGCCTTCATTTCTAAGTCACAGCTGTTACTTCAGCCGAGGAAGCTGAGCTGGCACCAGCCTATTTGTTTAACCTAACATCCACTCAAAATGACGACCTCATACGACAACTTGGCCCAGCGGCTTTAAAGATATGGACTTTTCTGGCATGTCTTAGTCTGTCAAACACTCTGAAAAAAATATATCCAATAAAGCCCATGCAAGTCTATAATATTTGGCAAGTCTAGATAAATGTGAAAAGTCTCTGGTCTCCTTTTTATTATATATTTGACTATAATTTAACTACTGTTTTTTTTCTGTAAAATAGTTCATTTCAGAGACTTGATGTTAGTCTAGGGATGCCTGTCAGTTCAGAGTAGTGGAGATCTGGTGTCTGACATTTATGACCATGGTGCTGTTTGGAGGGGCATGTTTCTTGAAGTTAGGTTTACGCTTGGCTAAGCCATCTTGCCCAGGTGATCTCGTCAGTCATCATCTCCCTGGAGTTGTCCTGAACAGTGCATGCTGCTTCATCAGAGGTGTGGGAGGCGCGTGGTCTGAACAGTGCATGCTGCTTCATCAGAGGTGTGGGAGGCGCGTGGTCTGAACAGTGCATGCTGCTTCATCAGAGGTGTGGGAGGCGCGTGGTCTGAACAGTGCATGCTGCTTCATCAGAGGTGTGGGAGGCGCGTGGTCTGAACAGTGCATGCTGCTTCATCAGAGGTGTGGGAGGCGCGTGGTCTGAACAGTGGAATCTACTGTGCAGAGTTGCATCTCTTAGTTGTGCCTGGATCTGCTGGTTGTGGGTCTAGATCCCAGATTAGTCCATAGCTAACTTCTGATTTATAAAAAAAATTAATTTTGTATGAAATTCTAAATCATTATCTGTTTGCAAACCTTTCCTTTAGATGTTTGTGAAGCATGTTTGGAGACTGTTATTAAGATTTCATCTTTACTTGGGGGTAGAATTATTAATTATGATTTTGAAGTACTGTACAAGACTTAAATTTGGATTTGATGACTTCAAAAACGAGGTTTCACAAACTAGACATGTAACAATGGTTATGAAAGTTGTGTGTTTCTCGGTGAGATATTTGACTTGATACAATCAGGCCATATGTCATGAGAAGTATGAAAGAGCAGTGTTTATTTTGTATTTGTCTCTTGAATATTCAATATTTTCAAATGGGGTGCATACAAAATACGCATCACTTAGACTTAAAACTAGTTCTGTGAAATTTACTTTTTGCTAAACTAATTTTCCAACCTATTTTGACAAACTTGTTACAGTGCAGTGCTATGATTAAATTATAATTGGATTCAATGAATCAGAGGTGTAGTCACAGGGTAGTGTGGGAGAATTCTAAGAGGAAGCAGCAACATGGGGATCAGGTCATTTACTCGTGTTTGCATCATGAATATTCCACCATAGATCCCTAACTCATCACAGAGAGCAAGATGCAAGGGCTGTGTTGACCTGGACCAGGTTCGAGGCTCCCAGAGGCTCCCCAGACTCCAGGAATGGGGCTCGGTCCTATTGATTTATGCCTGTTCTCCACAGCTATCAACACACTTGGCACACTGACAGGGAGGTGACCGCTGGTTTATTGGCCATTGTTGCTGACCGGTCCGAGTCATCTGGACAGTGATGTCAGACTGGGTGGTTGTGGCTGACATACAGTTGTGAGCTATTCCTCAAGGATGATAGATATTATGTGTGAAGATTCTGTGAACTGAATTCCCTTGCTGTGGATTAATCTCATAGAGGATTATTAAACATGGCTTGTCAGTTCACTTCCACAGGACCATCGGATATGTTCGTGTTTGTGAAAGTTTGGATGGAGTTGCTAAACAGCGTATAGATGCTAGATACCTTCTCAAAGGAATGCTTGTTTCTACTACTCCATGGTCAACACTAGGGGGATAGACTTTCTCATTGTTAGACAACCATTTCTTTATCTTTAAAATCTTATATGATAGTTATTGTTTGGTATGGAGAATTCTTTATCTAGTGTTTTACTGGTCATGTCAAAACTCAATCTGGTAAACGTTGGTGGTAGGTAATATTTATGTTCTGACTTTTGACTTCTTTGGTGGCAGAGACTGGAGGTTAGAGACACAATTAAGTGGCCCATGGGTCCCCTGTGCTGTTATCAGCATTAGTTGCCAGGGTTTTTGGCTTGATGGTTTGAGCATTGACAACTGTGCAATAACAGTGCCCCAGCTGAGATGCAGAGGAGATAATTGGTACATGTGCTGGCTCCAGAGGAGATAATTGGTATATGTGCTGGCTCCTGGCTCCAGACTATAGGCACATATTGGGTTGTGATGCTTGAAATGCTTAATAAGGAAAGACCAATATGCAGCCAGCTTCACCAGTGCATATGGTGGACTTCTGCGTTGGATTTAATCTCGACTTCTTTATTCGGAAGTGCTTGTGACCTTGATATTAAACCATCACTCGTGAGGGATTCCATAACATTGAGTGCATATTGGATAACTCTCCAACACGTTTATTGAATTCTTCATGGAGCAGTAAATCATGAGTCGGATTCCGAGCAGTGTTGAGTATGTAGCCATGCATCCCCCTCAGTCAGCCATGTGTCTGCAGGATCTGAGTAGAGCCATACAGTTGGATGTGATGGGATACTGGAATGTGTTTTCACATCTGCATGACTGAAAACCTTTTATAAGTGCAGCATCAGAAGATCAAACAAATGATGTGTTTCTGTTTATTCTAGAAACAAATGATTGTGTTTCTGTATATATTTGAAACCTAATGAATGTGTTTTCAATGGACTGGAAGACAGAGTTTTCAGTGTGGCAGCATGTCAGCGTTAGAAATTGGCACTAGTCCTATAGTCCTTGCCAAACTTACCCATTGTTAAACAATCATAAGGACTTGTAGAAAATTGCCCTTTTTAAGGGTTTTTCTATATGTTATCATCCTAAGGACTAGTACACAAAAACTGTCTTCAATGGGCTGGAAGCCGTCATATAACTGGAATATTGCTGAGTGCGGCATTAACCAACAAACAAACAAACAAACAACAAACAATGGACTGGGTGACGGAGTTTTCAGTGTGGCAGCTTGTTTATGCTGATTCTGTTTGACTGCGGAGTTGTCTATCTTTTTGTACCAGGATGTTATGCATCATCGGCCATTTTCTGCCACATGTTGGTGCATAATCAGAATTTTTACCAAGGCGTCCATCACAGAGCTGTCTCCTGCCATAGACCTGCCAACGCAGATATTCTGTGGAACCAGACGCTGCACTTAGGTTTGTCTTGCTGCCAGAGCAAATAGTCATCATCACTCTTGAAGATATTCTAGACTTCGATAGTCACACGATTTGTAGAAAATAGACAGGCTGCTAATTGAAGGATAGATCCTCGTTACATGTACCGAACTCGGAGTTCATCAGAGACAGCAGTAATCTTCAGGAAGCCAGATAACGAAGATGTGTCTGTGAATGGACAAGCATTCTCTGTGATCAGAAGGACATTGTATTATTGATTAGCTTCACAAACATCAAAGACTTGTGTCCATCTTGGTTTAATCCTGTGTATCTTGCTGTGATGATGTTGACATGTGATTGACCAGTGATGATGGAGAATGACAGGCAGTGTTTCTTGAAGTCTTTTGAATGAAAACATTCAGTCTGGTGGAGCAGTGTTGATCAACTGTAAACACTGAGTACAAGGGAGTATTGACTTTGAAGATTTCTAGATAATTGACACACTGACAGATAGAAAAATGTATCGTGATATTGAATGACTTATTAGAAACATTAATACATTTTCTAGAGTTGTGGATGAGATATATTATGTGGTGATGTTGTGCTGCCATTGTTGTGGCAATTCTTGAATTAGTCAGACATTTTACTCACATGATGCTGCAAACTAGGAAGCAATTTTGAATAAGTCCGGAAGTTTTTCTTTGAGGACGGTGAACCTAGTGACCTGGTGACACCCTGTCAAACACAACAAAACCCACCATAGGGCAGCTATTGTACCCATGATGCCTCATTCTTGCCGTCTGCTACTCACAGGTGCTCACAGTTACAAACATATGTTTCCTTAGCTGACAGAGTGCCAGCAGCCAAAAATAAACCAGGATCACTCTTCAGCCTGGGAGATTGTTTTGTGTGAAGGAATTCTGAAGAAGATCGGAGGAGGCAGGGCATCGGCATTTGTTTCTTGGAGGGGTATTGGAGCACATTTTGGATTTTGTCTTTGTTGGATGACCATTGTCTTTGTTACCTGGTGAGATGTGAAAGTCCATGGTCCTAGTTGATGGCGTCATCTACAGATTCGCCAAACACGCTTCGACAGCTGAGGGCAAAGGCGATTTGGCTAGGTGAGTGTGGATGGCTGCGAGTTGCAGATGACTACCTAGATTTAAGTAGCTACCTTGTAGGCCAGGGAAGAGAAGTCAAGGAGGAGACATGTTAAGCTTGTTCCAATATTTGATTTCCAGTCGAAGGTCTTTCTGCATGACCTTCAACTCTGACATATCTTGAATATATTTTACTATTCATGGTGCAAGTTTTTTTTGTCTGAATGTAAGTTTTGGTCATATTTTACTATTCATGGTGCAAGTTTTTTTTGTCTGAATGTAAGTTTTGGTCATATTTTACATAAACACTTACAGTCTTGTTAAGATTTTTTTTCATTCGCAAAATTGTCAAAGTATTTCAATACAAAACTTTGACATGATTGACAAGAGAAACCTTTTTGAATTTGTTATTCTTATTAATGTGTCAGTAATGTTGAAACTGGTGAAATGATATCACAACAAATGATATGCTCAGTGACAGTTTCTCCAGGAATACCTCGTTATAGATGGTGTTGGTCAATTGTACTACAACAACACGAAACTTAGCAGCCTCTATTAGGCATTGTGCTATCTGCCTACTCAGGCGAGGTCCATGAGAATTCTAGGCAAAGCAGTGTGTGAATGTTGTGGGTGGGTGGTTAAGTGATTTACGTTTAGATAACTGTTTTGACATTTATATGTACATGTATGTATTATCAACATTTATAAATTCATATCTAATAGTGTATCTGTGTAATTATTTTTTCGAGAACTGTTAGATTTTGTAATGGAATAATTTGTTTGTTGTGTTGATAAGATAATTTGTTGAATCAGAATGATAATTTGTTGAATCAGAATGATTTATAATTCAGGTTTGAAAAGATATGTTTTTTAACAATTGTGTTCAGTTGATAAACAGTAAAAAAAAATTAAATTTTGAATTTTGTTTATTTATCATTTTGTTTGATGTGACAATTTGAAAAAAATCATCAGTCTCATCAACTGCACATACTCTCTGGCTAATTTTAAACAGAATATCGTCGGTTTGCAAATTTTTTTGTTACTTTTTAATATTCATATTTATTGTAGACATGAACTGGATTATCATGAACTGATAATACACATAGATGTTGCTTTCCTGTTTATTTCACAATTTCGGAAAGATCCAGCAAATTAGTGAAGAGAATTGTCACCCTTAGCTATGCCAGGATCAACTGGTTTGGTTAAATTTGTGTCCATTGTGTTCTATGTCCTGTGATACTTTATACAAGGTCATTGGTGCCACAGTTGTGGTCATCATCTGTTATTTCTGCTGACATGCAATGATTCTGGTGCTGATATACTTGTCAACTTGTCAACTTGTCAATGCAGTATCACAACTTACTAGACTAGTGTCTAAACCCATGATTGTTAACAATATGAGCAGAGATTTATATACTGGTCAACCTGTGGGGATACCCGGGGATTCAGGGGGATTCTGGTTTAGAATAGCTCCCCAGCAACCCATGCTGGTTGTAAGAGGTGAAGGGGCGGTCGGGTAGCCTAGTGGTTAAAGCGTTCGCTCGTCACGCCGAAGACCCGGGTTCGATTCCCGACATGGGTACAATGTGTGAAGCCCATTTCTGGTGTCCCCCGCCGTGATATTGCTGGAATATTGCTTAAAGCAGCGTAAAACAATACTCACTCACTGTAAGAGGTGACTTAATGGATCAGGTGGTCAGGCTTGGTGACTTGGTGGATTGCATGTCAATGTACCCCGACAGTGTTAGATGTTTCTCATAATATCCATCACTGGTTTGTCTGGTCCAGACTTGATAATACAGGTCATCATGAAACTGGAATATCGCAGTGTGCTGCGTTAAACAGGAGGCAAAGAGGAACTGGGTATTGTTGTACAAGACACCTTCAGCGCTAAGACTCTCGTTAAGTCCATGTTAAGGTATGGGAGTTATGGTCACTTTAGCGCTAAGATGACTTTGTACAACGGCATCCTTGTTAGTAGCCAGGCTCTCAGCTGTCAACTTGGAGTGGGGAGCCTCATAAAAAAATCATTTTGGAAAATGTGAGGTTGAGTGTGTTCTTTTGTGGAGACATTTCACAGTACATGTGCTGTCACTCTTGTGATCATCCACGTATTACAGCTGTCACTGTGGGTGATAAATGTCTGTATCACCGGTCACGCTTGGTGCGACAACACTCACAACATTGTGTAACAACAACAGACACAACAACACCCAGCAGGGCAGCTGCATCTCATAACAGTATCTTTCTTTCTAGTGAAAAGATTTTGAATTTTTGAAATTCCTACTTGTCTGTAATGTTTTATAATTGAGACAAGGTTTATATATGGATTGAGACAGTATACTGGAATATTTATACAGGGTGTTCTCAACTCAAGGCTTTCTTTCTTTCTTTTTAATGCAGATTGCACTAAAATTATTAATCAATAACATTAGTGAATTGTTGTTGATGTGAGGTTAACTGTGCTATTTATTTTGACATTCTTTTGAATTATGAATATGACTCATATGTAAATATTTTCGATGATGATACCATAATGATGACAATGACAATGATGATGATGATGACAACGATGACGATGACGATGATGATGATGATGATGATGATGATGATGATGATTATAACCTAGTCAGGCCCTTAACCATATACAGATCAATGACAATTGGTGGGAATTATGTTATGATGATGATTATGAACATTTTGAAGAATGTAGAAATAAGAATATGTTTAATTTTATTACACTTCCAATAGAAATATAACCAGAATAGTGTTCCATGGGTGGAGTGTCATGTGATCCATGAAATGTACGTGTGTCAGTTATTAGTCATCTTGCAACCAATTTCCTCGTCTAAACATCTGTGTTTGTGACCCACCCTAAACAGAACATGGACTCATTAAGCTTATGATGCAAGTTCTGGAGCTGACTGGCCATTCTCAGGGGCTATAAATGTTCTCTGCACAGTCCTTTTATTAGGTATGTTCTCTACACAGCGCTTTGATCAGGGATGTTCTCTACACCGTGCTTTGATCAGGGATGTTCTCTGCACCGTGTTTTGATCAGGGAGGTTCTCTACACCCTTCTTTGATCGGGGATGTTCCCTACACCCTGCTCTGATCAGGGAGGTTCTCTACACCCTGCTTTGATCGGGGATGTTCTCTACACCCTGCTTTGATCAAGGAGGTTCTCTACACCCTGCTTTGATCGGGGATGTGCTCTACACCCTGCTTTGATCAGGGAGGTTCTCTACACCCTGCTTTGATCGGGGATGTTCTCTACACCCTGCTTTGATCAGGGAGGTTCTCTACACCCTGCTTTGATTGGGGATGTTCTCTACACCCTGCTTTGATCAAGGAGGTTCCCTACACCCTGCTTTGATCGGGGATGTTCTCTGCATAAGGCTTCGATCAGGGATGTTTTGCACCCTGCTTTGATCAGGGATGGTCTCTATACAATGCATTGATCGGAGATGTTCTTTTTACAATGCTTTGATCGGGGATCTTTTCTGCATGGCACTTTGATCAGGGATGTTCTCTGCACAGAGCTTTGATCGGAGGATGTTCTCTGAACAACACTTTGATCAGGGATGTTCTCTGCATAAGGCTTTCATCAGGGATGGTTTGTCTCTCCATAACACTTTGATCAGAGATATGTTCCATGCACAACACTCTGCATGATGCTTTGTAAAAATAATCAAGTCTGGACCAGACAATCCAGTGACTGACATCATGAACATCGATTTACACAATTGGGATGCGATGACATTTCTCAACCAAGTCAACAAGCCTGACCACCTGGCCACCCCGTTTGTCGCCTCTACCTACAAGCAAGGTCATTTCTGACCCGGATCATCACATGGTCTCTCTAAACGTTGCCTTGCACCCTGATTCTACCACCAAGTAGGGGCACAGGGGAATGTTTCACCACAATCACTGGAGCATTCTGCTACAGCAGCGAGGGCCCCACCTGGGCTGCAGAGCTGCACGATGGTCAATACTTCTCCTGGGTGGTGGTCGAGGAGGAACAGGTGCCCCTTGCCTCGGAAATATATACTTTCGTTATTTCTGGACAATATCTCGAGGAGCTGTATGTATATAGATGCCTTGTAGTTTGTGTCAAGTGACGCAGTGAAATTGGAAGCTTTCGAAACATAGTGGACTGTTTGTAAACTAGTCTTGCTTAAGGAGATTCAATCAGTTTGATATGAGTAGTCACTTGGGGAGATTGTGTTGGGAGTTTGTATTTGGTCACATAGCCTTGTTCAGCTTATTATGTAGTTAATCAATGAGATCTAATGATGATGAATATTCATTAGACAGAAACTATGTTTTGAAATCATCTTTGTTCATGTGAAGTCGTCATAACTTGATCTGTGCAGAGTTCCGTCGCTTTGGCATGCCAGAATCCTAGGATCACCCTGATTCTACGTTTATCAGCACCATACCATGTTCGTGAGGTAAATGTCTAAGGCCTGCATCACGTTGAGTTTTACTCCCACATTAAACTGACATCCTGTGAAATATTGTTCGAAGCAGCTTAAAACCAAATTCACTCACTCATTCATAACTGGACTAGTTTCCGAGCATGAAAATTCTCCTCTACCCAAATATCCTTACATTCAAAACTGAAAACATTTCATGGCAATAATAAATGCAGTGTAAAAAATTGTAGCACCAAACAATCCGTACTTGTG